CTCGACTGTTGGTAACTCCCGTCTCACATGCTGTTCTGCGGCGATGGCGAAACGACCTTGGCTTGGTCGGATGGGATCGCCGCTGGACTAATGTCACCGGCGATGGAAGGCCCGCCTACTGCTCGCAAAACGATACGGCGCGGACCGACTGATGCTTTGTCTTTCTCTTGTGCGGACAGAGAGAGACGAGATGAACTCAGTGATTGCGATAGGAAATCTGGAACTAGGGCTGGACGATGATACTCTTCTCGATTTATGGGGCGAACTAAAATCTCTGAACTCTTGGCTATGGAATTTAAGGATCGATTTGGGCGAGATTTGATTGAAGAAGAGAAGGGTTCTCAAGTCTGCTACGACGGTCGAGGGAGGAAATATTGGGCAAAACTTTTTTACAACGTTTGGGTCGAGCTCATTCTCACAAATTGGGCCGAAAATTACTATAGCTTATTGGGCCCAAACTATATCTCATAAAAGCTGAAAAGAATTGGACTCAAAAATTGGCTATAGATACGGTTTGAAATAAAATTAAACCGACTAAATTAATCAACCCTTGCTGAATATAATTAAGCTTATAAGGCCTGAAATATAAGCTCAAAAATCGGTCTTGATAAATTCTAAGAATTGAGAAATAATTTCAACGACACTGAAAACGGATAAAATAATCGGCTCTCACTAAACTGAAAAATTCTAATAATCTCGGCTAATCTCCGAATAATTTAAATAGACAAAAATGTCTAAATAAATTAATTATCTCAAAATTGATTAAATAGACACAGTCGTCTAAATAATCCTAAAACTTGTATATATAAAAAAGTTGTTGGAAAAATACTTAAATAGAAAGTTTGACTGAATAAATATAGTGTTTGGCTTACTATTAATGGAAAACTCGAAAAACACATGTGAATCTTTAGTAACAAAATCTCAATCCTAATTTTTTGGCAACAAATTTGGAGGTTCTTATGGCAAAATTTGAATTTCATTTTTTTCGTATCATATTTTATAATTTTTACAAAAATTTAAATCATATTTTTTTGTTAACAAATTTGTAGATTCTTATGCAAAAAATGTGTTAATTTTATTAAAACAATTCTAAATACAAATTAATTTAAAAATCGTGCAAATTGGATACAAATTTAAGAAACAAATAGTTGTGTAATTCTTAACCAAATTTTCCAATCTTATTGAATAATTTTTTCTTTCAAAAAAAGTGAGTAAATTGGATAAAACCACGTTCGATTTTTATTTTAAAATAAAACTAATATTTGGACAAGATGTACATTCAAAATTGTGTCCACATTTTTTGGTAACAAATGCGGTTCATCTTTGATATTTAAACTTTAAAGTCACCTTATCCAGTTATTTAGGAAAAAATTGTGTGCAACTTTTCAAAATTTAAAGGCATTGATTTTTTTGAATTCTTATATTTTTCTTAACCATGTTTTACCGAGATTTTGGTAAGTTCATATCATTTTTTTAGTTGGTTAAGTTCATATCATTTTCTTTAGGAAAGAGACGGTTGCATACAAATTAACAAATTATTTCAAATTTTTATTAGAATTATTTTCAATGCAATTTGTTTGGTAAAAAATTGGTGCAGTGTTAGGAAATTCGATTGCATTTTTAGAAAAAAAAAATGATGATTATTTTATTTTGTTTAAAAAAATATTCGAGTCAATTTGTTTGAAAAAAATCAGTTTATTGGTAGAAACATCGGTTTTATTTTCAGGAGTAACTAATGATTCTTTTCAATTTTTTTTAATTGAAATTTAGAGTTAGATTTAAAATAAATAATGGGTGAAAATCTCTAAAAATTTCTACCTTTTTCTACTATAATTTTGTTTAAT